AATTGACAAGTTTAAAAAAAATTGATTGTAGGAAAGGACAATGAAAAAAGACTATAAATACTCCTATTTTTTTTAAATTAACAAGTAGCTACTTGTTAATTAATAAGTATCTATTTATTAATTGACAAGTTCAAAAAATATATTAAGAAAAAACTTAGTTGTAGGAAAGGATAAGTATAGGTTACGTTTTAACAAGTAGTTATTAATTAATTAATAAATACCCATTCACATTTAATAAAAAATTATTTGTTAATTGACAAATTAAAAAATAAAAAGAAAAGCAAGAGTATTACAGTATATTCCTATTTAAAATTATTTTTAAATCAGTCTCCTAGTTTTGCAATGATATTTCCAAATCTTTTGATTTTTATTTGATATTAAATTACCTAAGCAATTTTTGAATGATATTTTCCTTAAAACATGTTCAAATTGGGTATCTCTCCGGTATTATCAAATATCCCATGCGGTAAAGGGGGGAAGGAAAATTGAACCAAGAAATAATGGCATTTTGCGTAATAAGTTTTGTAATTTTGGTTTTCAGTTATGTATTGAAATGTAAATAACATCGTGCGTGGTTCAAGGGCAAACAAATACTACTTGCTGGTCAAAATCTCAAAAAGAAATTAAAATTTTCTCGTGCACGCGATCTGTGGGAGTTGCAAATATGCTCGTGCGGATCCCATCTAATCAAATCAGGGGAGACAAATCAATCAATTTCTGGCCGATTTCTTTTCTTCTGTTCTTTTTTCTTTTTGGTAAATATTTCTGGCCGATTTTTCTATGTTAGCCGAGCTAATTAGGTATTCGGCCAGAACCAAGTCTTCACTTGTTTATCATTTTTTTTGGCTAAATCACTTGTTTGTCTTTTTAAATAACAGATAAAAGTTATAAAATCTTAACATCGCCTGTATTGTAATTACATGATTATTTTGAACAAAAACTAACTGGTTTTGACTTTTGAGTTTTGATATGTTTTTTAACTTTTGTGCGATAGAAATTCAGGGGGGAAAAAGGTGAGGTCTGAAATAAAAAATAAGATTTAAGAAATAACATGTGAATAGGCATGTTACAGTTTACATGGAGATTAAGTAATATATTATCTTATTCATATATTATAAACAGTACTAATTCTTATAATGAGAAACCAACAGTTAGGGATCCCTAAGGTCATTAATTACAATCAAGGATCCTAATTTATTGAAATCCCAATGATAAAACATCATCCTTGCTTGAAATTTAGAAAAAAAAGTGCAGACAATCTAAAATGTCTCTTAGAAGTGACTTTAATAAATTTTTAAATTATTATTATATATTCACGAATGCTTTAAAAAGTTTTTTTTTAATTTCATATTATGAAACAATCAATTCCTAACTATTATTTCTTAATTTTTCAATTAAGATTAATAATATTCTTATCCCATGATAGTAATTTTAACATTATTAATTTTTTTTGTTTTTTAAGTGGTTTGCTTATATATTAACAAGCATAAAAATCCACACGTGATTAGGTTCATATTTAAAAATGCCTTTAGTAAATATTCAAATGATTATTGTATATTCATGAGTACCACTAGAAAGTTTTGAAAGTAAATTTTAATTTTATATTGAAAAACAATCTTTTTCTAACTATTATTCCTTGGTTTTTCAATTAAAATTAACAATATTCTTATCTCATGATAATAATTTTAACAATGTTATTTTTTTTATTTTTCAAGTGGAGGGCAATTTTATGAACTCATGTATATTTTTAATTCTAAGTAACGATCATAATTCATTATTAGGATTTCAATAATTTAAAATTCTTAGTTGTAATTATTAGTTTTAGGGGGTCCTTAATTGTCATTTTTTCCTTTATAATTTATGCATGACATTCAAATTCCGACACACTTAATAGGTTCTTTCTTTGACTTTTGACCAAGAGAGTTGTCTATATATCCTCATGCTCCTATTTATAAAGTAGAGAGAAAATATTTATTTTGATAATAAAAGTAAAATTGCAAACTTATTAATTTTTAGACAACATTAATGGGGTTTAATATTTTTTTTAGTTTCAAATAAAATATGATAGAAGTAAAATATAAATAGAACTGGAAGGAGCACATTCCAGCATCTGCGAAGAAGTTTAAATAAAGAACAAGTTCTGACAAAAGTTTGTGCAGTATGATTATTTTTAATTCCTAGCCAAATATGCTTCCCCAGATAAAATTCCAAGAGAGCTATTTCAAAGTCATAAATTGTATGCTAGTAGGAGCAAGGAATAACATTCGTAACGTCGTATGACATATATCCAGTTTTATGGGGCAAACCACGTTCACTTCTTGCGTCATGTCATAATGTAGGAGAAACAAGAGCATATGTCGGGGATCACAAAGAAGATATTCCCAATATCATACCCACAATCCACACTCACATTGTATGATTCGCCCTTTCACTATCAGCTGATATTAACACAATCTGCTTTCACCAATCTTAAGTAGGCAATAGACTGAAGGCTTCAACGATGCAGCAAATTCACCTTGCTTTTTGTAAATAAGTAGTAATCTACAGAAAAGAAATCATCAATGAAATGCCCCGGTCAAGCTTTGTTTCAACTAGTAGCTCTAGCTTTGTCAATCCAATAATATCCTGAATGAAACAAAATAACTTACATTGAAGGATAAGTTATTGCAAATTTTGGCTCATAGTTCGGTTCAAATGTGACTCAATTTGTGGCTGATTTGGATTTACCCTCTGTATTTCGTGAGAGATTATTCGGTTAAAGACAGACAGATAACTGTCATAATCATTGCCTCAAGCCCCCAAAAAAATATGTATCATTGCATATGTATAAAGGGTATCTGAATTTGAAAGAAACACTGATTTCATGTCAAACCGGATCAAATTAGGCTTATGGGGATAGCCTTATAAAGGTGACCACCGAACGCGCATTGACAAGAAGTTGCGTCGCAATATCACAAGTTCATAATAATGAATATGAGATCACACTGTCTCTGCTCTGCTGGAACCTTCTGTCTTGCTTGGGCAGATGCAAAGTTTTAGCCTGTTTCTACCTCTAGCTTTGCAAGTAGCTTGGATTTAGATTTTTGATACAGAGAAATGGTGCATTAGATGGAAGATTTGCAAAATTTTTCTTTATTTGTTGTGTTAGACATATAGCTGTATACTTTGCTGATTTTGTTGGGGGAAAAAAAACAAGAGGTTTTTTCTTTGCTTTCTGTATCCCAGTAATTTTAGTGAAACATCTATACTGTATTAACATGTGGAGTGGACACAAATCACTTTATTGTATTAACATGAAGGGAAATAAAAATCCCTTCCATCACTTTATTGTATTAACATGTGGAGCGGACACAAATCACGCAATTTATATATCGGTACTATAAAGCCAAAGGGGGAAAACGAGGCTTGGATTTTTTTTCCTTTCTTTTTTAATAAATATTTTTCATATTCATCTCAATTTTATTGCATGTCTCTGATGGTTTCATCTACTACCTTTGCAGAGATCAAATAGATCAAGGAAGAAAAGGTTTGAAAAGCAAAAATTGCAGACTTCAGACTCAGACTCGGAAACTGTTAATGCACCACCTCTTACCATCACCAGAAGAGGTTAAATTAACTAATACCGAGAATGAAAACAACCATGCTCCTGATGTTGAAGTTGAAATTGCGACTGCCACGGATAGTGAGGAACCTATTCCTGCGGTTCAAACAGCCCCCTTTCCAGTTCAAGCATTTATAATTCCTCAGGCTGTTAGGAAACTAGTACTGAAGTGGCAGCAATAATAGATTTGCTTAGATAAGTTGATCTGCAGAAAAGGAATCATCAATTAAATGCCCTGGTCAAGCTTTGTTTTAACTAGTGGCTCCATGTTTGGCTCAACAATATCCTGAATGAAACAGAATGACTTACAGTGAAAGGATACATTATTGCAAATTTTGGCTCGTGGTCCGGTTCAAATGTGACTCAATTTGTGGCTGATTTGGATTCACACGCTGTATTTCGTGATAGATTATTCTGTTAAAGGCAGACAGATAGATGTCATAATCATTGCCTCAAGCCCCAAAAAAGAAGTATCATTGCACATCTATAAAGCGTATCTGAATTTAAAAGAAACACTACAGATTGCATATTAAATCAAACCGGATCAAATCAGTTTCATGGGGATTGCCTTACAAAGGTGACCACCAAACGTAAATTGGCAAGAAGTCGCGTCGCAATATCACAAGTTTATGATATAACAAATATGACATCACAGTCTCTGTCTTGTGCCCTGTTGGAACCTCCTATGCACCGAAGGTTGAAATTCCGGCACAAAGAATTTATTGTTGCTTGGACTCAGGACCACCAGGGAAAAAAGAGATTAAAAATAGTCCCGCAAGGAAGTCTCAACGAAAATCATAAATTTGATTTTACCAAACCTTGGGCGGCATTATTGTTCCGCTGCCAAACATGTACTTGGAGTTTCATGAATCCTGTTTGACTCAGAAACCTGCATCACAAACATAGCATACTACCAGCCCAAATAAAATTATAAGACAGCTATTTCAGTCAGAGTCAGAGGTTATACGTTAGGAGGCGCAGGGAACCACATTCCTGATATCATATCCAGTTTTTTTACAAGGAATCCCTATTCACTAGATGTATCATAATAAGCAAAATATGGAAGTATAGGAATCCCATAAAAAAAAAATGCCCAAAGACGTAACAATATTCCCATATCATAGCCAGAATCCACAATAATTGAGAAGACAGTTCGTGAAAGAGAATTAAAATATCATCATCGATAACACGATCTTCTCTGAGAAATCTAAGAAACGTAAGGTAACAGATGGAAGGCTTCAGCAATACAGCAAATTCAATTGATTTTACTGATTGCTTCATCTTTGTCATTTTAATATCATAAAAATCTTGTCACCATAAAGTTGGGTGAAAGATGATCTACCAAAACTCAACAGCATAGTATAAGAGGAGAGAGTAGAAGAAGTTCTGGAAACATGACTAACTTTGAAAGGAGGAAATATTATTGCAGACAGGATGGAGCATCAAAACTATATTGTATAAGATTGAGGCACGGAGGAGAAAAGGAGAGTATTTGGAGGCATCCCCTGTTACATGAGTGACAGCTTATGTATAAGCCATGATTTCAGAAACTGCAATCATCCAAAACTAAACAAATAAATTGAGCAACCTAATTTTGACGGTAAGCAATGTAATTGGTCAAAGCAATCAATGGGGCGGCCTTCTCCGGATCAAACCCAGAGAGCTGATCCTGCGCATCTTTGATCAATTTCTCAGCGAACTCCCTCGATTTCTCGATCCCAAGGAGCTTAGGATAAGTGACCTTATCAGCCACCAAGTCTTTTCCTGCTGTTTTGCCCAATTCCTCCGATGATTTCGTAACGTCGAGAATGTCATCGACAACCTGAAACAGCAATCCAATGTACCTCGCGAACTTCCTCAACTTCTCAATCTCTTCCTCCGACCCACCTCCCACGACGGCTCCCAGCACAACCGCGGCTTCCAGCAACGCCGCCGTTTTGTGAATATGAATGAATTCTAGCTTCTCCAAGCCCACATCGGATAATCCCTCCGAAGCTATATCCACAACTTGCCCAGCGACCAGTCCTTCGGCGCCAATCGACTTGGCTAACTCCCCAACCGCCCGAACTACCCGAGCCGGCGCAACGCCCACGGTTGCAACGGCCACGTGCTCAAACGCGAAAGACAGAAGAGCATCGCCGGCCAAAACCGCGACGTCCTCCCCGAAGACCTTGTGATTTGTCGGTTTTCCTCGCCGCAGATCATCGTTATCCATACAGGGCAAATCGTCGTGAATTAGCGACATAGTATGAATCATCTCGACGGCGCAAGCCGAGGGCATGGCCGTTGATTCGTGGCCGCCGACAAGTTCGCATGCGGCGATACAGAGCATTGGGCGCACGCGCTTGCCGCCGGCGAGAAGCGAGTACCTCATGGCCTCGTGAATCTTCTCGGGTTCGCGCATGGCAACAGCAGCATCCAAGGCTTGGTTCACTTTATTAGCCTTGTCAAGCATGTAGGCGTTGAAATTGAAACCGGGTTTCTCCTCCTCAGAATCCTTGACGGCGTTTTCCTTGGTGAGAACCGCAGCGACTGAAAGAGAGGAGAAAGAGGGAGAGACTCCATGGCTTGGTGGCTTGGGAGGGAGGGAGAAAATGGGTAATTTTCTGAGACCATGGAAGAGATGAAAAGTTGGGGATCTGGATCTGCTCACTTGGGTGAACATCGAACTGGGGCGAGCCCACGCGCCAAGATTCACTGAACTCATGCTTATCCGGTGAGGGAGGGTGGGGGTGAGATATCAATATATAGAGGGAGAGAAGAGCGGAAGGGAAGTTTCATAGGAGAAACATGGAACCAGAGGGCTGGCTCTTTGATTCATGAATAGGGAAAGGCCAGAGTATCGGGATGTTCAATATTTTACTAATGAAGTCCAAGGCAGAAAGAATGAAATTAATTAATTAATTATTATTATTATTATTATTATTATTTAAAAAAAAGGAAGATAGAAGAAATGGGAGCAGAGGACCGGAGAGATGACAAAAGTTCTGGCAGAAGCTAAGGCCAGGCGCCAGCAAGTCGAAGACCAGGATAGATTGAGCGGATACGGTATCAAAGTGGCGTCTGGATAACCTTTTCTGTTTTGGTCGCTTTGGTGTTTATCACCTCACTCGCGAAATGAAAATATTAAAATTAAATTTAAATAAAGGTTAAAAAAATTAAGAAAATTGAAGAACAATTGTTCTTTTATAATATTGGTTTAAACATTTGTCAATTTTATAAATGATTTAGGACTGTCAAAACAACAATTTTTGTTTAATTTATTAAAAAACTTGTCAAATATAACATCACTTCCAATGATTTGTTATGGCAGTGAGATTCAATAATCTATCTTTATATTTATTTATAAAAATAGAATTACAGCAGCAGCATTTGACATGATATTTATCCCTGATTTTGTTGAAAAATAATAGATGAAATTCATATTTTCTATTGTATAAAAAAATTCAAAATTCTAATTTTAAAATAATAAGTAAACTATTTGTATACAATGTTCAATATATATATATATATATATTTTAAAAAAAAAGTGGAAACTTAGGAAGAGAAGAACACTGAAACCTAACCAAAAGTTTTTTAAGTAACCCACCCTCGCATCTTCACCTCCATTAATTGTCCCAACTTTTCCCATTCCTCCCCTAATGGTTCAAATTCAAAATTTAACCTTGAAACTCCTTAAAACTTTTCCTTGAAGCTAACTTCTATACTCACATTCTTTCTTGCTTTTTTATAGAGTGCTCACTCACATTCACATACATTCTCGCAAAATTAGCAAAATTATCATGTTGTTGTTGTTTGATCAAAGGCTTAAGCAAAGTTATTCTTGATTGCTTCGACAACGACAAAGAATCAAAATGATAGTCATACAATGAGTGCCCTAGATTCACTTGAGCCCTAGTAATTAGCTTTGTTCTTCTGTCAAAATCAGGGTGGATATGCTAAGCAACAATAATCACACATACTATAGAATGTGATTATGTCATTTTCAAGATAAGCGCAGGGAAATTATGTGGTGCTCCATTACTTTTGCTATTGAATGTGATTTATTTGGTTTCCCTCCCTAATTTGCCTGAGCATCTAATCACTCATTTTTATTATATGTGCAAGTGAAAAGAATGTTATGAAGAAAATGTATTGCACATGCTTCAATTTGTGCTATTGTAATTTGATTTTGGATGAGATTTGGCATCTCTCTTCATGGTATGTGATTTTATGAACATTAACTAACTTATTCCAATGCTTTTAATTGTCTGATAAAGCCAACATTAAAAGTAAATTAATAACTTGGTACGGAACATATATTTCTTTTTTGGGAATATAGGTATGATCTTTTGCAATTGACATTAATTTCTTTTTTTATTTAGAGCAAATTCTCTTTAAAAGAATAAGTTAAATAATCATTCATAAAATTTGATGAAAAAAAGATCGATCTTTAAATTTTTTTCAATACATGATTAATTATTTGCCTATCATTTTCAAACTTATTTTAAAGATTTCCTTACATTTAATTGATCTCAATTGTATCATAATTACAATTGCAAAAAATTTACATAAAAATATCATGTGCATCACAAATTATTTTATTTAAAAGTTAGTAGAAAACATTATTCTTATGTTTATAAATTTTAGTTTGAAATTAGTTTGTGCTTTGCAAATGTCAATAGCGAGCACTAACAAATTTGTTTTCACTAAATAACATTTTGTATTCTAAATAATTATTGAGTATTATTATTTACTTAATTTTTTTTTTCACATCTTGTACATCACACAAGCCGCATGCTAATTTATCTACGAAATGGAGATATAACTCGTCAAACATATCATTAGTCATCACTTCCAATTGTTTATTACTCTCATATGATTTGCAAGGAGAAGAAATAATATCTCTTTCAAATATATAACCACTTCTTGTACTGCCCTCTCATTCCTGATTCGCAATTTGTTCACAAATAATTTTCAAGTTAGATTCATGTTTTAATATAGAAAAATGAGATTCTAACTTGACAAATACATCATGTGTTTCTTTTTTTTTTTATGATGATTAATGTTTAACAATTTTTTTTATAAATTAACAAATCTCACCAAAATATATCTCCAATTTTTGTTGCTAATTTTCAAATACTTTCATCCCTATTTAAGTTTAATCTAATGTTTTTGGTGATTTAATGTCATTCCCCTTTTATGCCATCAATGATAAGTTATCTTAATGACAATGCCACTTCATTCTTTTGAAAGAAGTCTTAGCTTCAAATTTAACATTAATATGGTCAATATGAGTGCATGTGTACCTCCTCACCAATCAATATCTTAATGTATGTGTGTTAGTATATATTATAACCGAACATTTTTTAAATAATGAACCCACATTCATTTAACAATCTCATCTCCCTCTCTGTTTAAGTGAAATCATTAATTAGAAAAAGAGCATTCAATGAAATTGTAGTAGTTCATTTCTCGGTGTTTTTGAATTTAACTTTGCCTGAGCATTCATTATCAAATTTGTTATTGTTTGTGTTTTTTTTTTTTCAATTATAACTTGAAAAACATGTCATTGTCCTCGATATTCGAAGTAAATAAAAAAACAGGAGTCCAAGGAGGTGAAGTTGTTGAATGCGAGGACTCCAACATCGTTCATGTTGCCCAGGTTCAGGAGACAGGAGTCCAGGAGAGTGCTTGAGAAGGAGCCACTTGTAATAAATGTGGGGCCCACAGTGAAAATAATTTAAGGCTAAATTTACTTTTTAACTCATTAAACATTGCAAAAAATCCTCTAATTATTACTCATGTTCCATAGTATTTTTAATAATAAAGTGAATTTCACATTTTACCCAACTTTTTGCCATTATTATTTTTATTTGATGATATAGTAAATATTTTTATTTACAGTGTTATTTTTAATTTTTATTCCATTCTATATACATAGTACAAACAAGCAAAAAACTAAATTAATATATTTGCAATCTGGTAAAAAAATAAATATACTTACACAGTTAAAAAAATAAAACCTCGGGTTCTACGTATAATATATTACATGATCTTCTGTTCTTTTTTTTTTTTTAAATTTGGGATTAAAATCATATATTTTGTTATCTTACACACTCTCATACTTTAGATATATAGCTTTCCTTATCCTATTGATCTTTAATTTTTATTCTCATCCCTTGGTATTTAATTGTTTTCGTTTATCTAAGAATATTAACCCATTAATTGCGGCTACAGGGAATGTACTTGTACAGGAACAGATTCATTCAATGCATTGAATTAATCATTCTTAATTTAAATATTTGAAGAATGTTTTAAAAATTACTTTATTACATGTATCTAGCTAATTCATTGAGTTGGCTGATATCAAAATATATGTTGGGAATACTTATATAACTTGATGGGGCATAATCCTTAAAACATGTTTGGTTGGAGGGGGAGAGAAGAGGCTCTTTTGGTTAGGTGGAGGGGAGGAAAAATTTTTAACCCTCCCCTCTCGAATCAAATAGAGCCTTACGAGGATGGTGCATGTGTGCATGAATCTTCAAATATTTAACAAGATTAGCACGTGACCCATGCCAAACATACGAGATCAAAGGTATATGTGTATATATATATATATATATATATAAACACTATTTCTCTATAAGTAAAATATGAAGTTGTGTTTGTTGGGTTTCTAATTTAAAGCTAATTGATACAGAACAGGAAAAAAAAGGGGAAAGGAAAAGAAAATGTAGAAAAGGGGGAAAGGAAGTAGAGATAATCACTACTACAAAAAAAGAAAATAAATGACGGTTATTTTAGTCCATAAATAATGGTTAATAAGTGTCATTTATTCGGCTGACATTTAAAGACCTCCAATAAATGATGGTTATAAAACCGTCATTTAAAATAAAATTTTTATGAAGGGAGAAGCAAATTGAGAATTTAAATGATGGGTAAATGAAATACCCGTTATTTAAAGTCACTATAAATGACGGGTATATAACTTACCCGTCATTTAAAATATGGTAACAATTATGACCATATTTTAAATGACAGGTAAATGAGATACCTGTCATTTAAAGTTAGTATAAATGACGGGCATTTTTTTTAACTGTCATTTATTTCAGTATAAATGATGGTTATTTATATAACCGTTATTTTTTATGTGGTTTTTTTTAATTCGTGAGTTATTTTTATACCAGCCCCCCTGCAAAAAGAAATCAAAATAGCAGCAGCCAACCATTCCAAATTTTAATACCAACGAAATTTATTGTATTCAATTTTAAAATTAATCAATAAACAAATATAATTATATAAAGTAACCTTTTTCCAAAAATAAACTGCCTATTAAAAAAAATTCCTAGCTATTTCTTCAAGGTAGTTCTATTAATCTTCTTTGTATGAAGTCCACAGTTAGAAAATATATTGACACCATTCTTTAATTACCTCATTTATTTCTGCATCCCCAAATTCTTCAACATAAGAATCATCATAGTACTGCAATATATAAATAATTCAACATATATTAATATAATTTTAATACATTGTATATTTTTGTAATTTAAAAGTTAATATTTTTGACATACCATCTCGAGAATTATGCTCTCGTTATGAATAATGATGTCCTTCATGAACCTCATGACGCAATAGCCACAATCCAAGTTTTTTTTTTGTCTTGGACACTAAAAATTAAAGAATATATAAATATGTATTAATGTATTAAATTTTAATTTAATAAATAATTTCATTACCTTAATTATATTCCAAGTGTAGGCTGCATCAAAATTTAAAAAGGACCTTGAAATTGATTGTTTTGTGTTAGTGTGGTATAACACAATTGCCCTAATGAAACAATAAAA